AATCTGAATTTGGACAATATTTCTTTTTTTTATTTTCTGTAAATGGACTTTTTGTTTTATCTGTTCCCTTTTTAAACCACAAAGACTTGTTTCTATGTCAACTAGCAGTGAGTGTGTCTTGTATCTTTCAGTCATATATCCAGAAAAACAAAGGCAAAAATTGTGACTGTGACTGACATATGTGTTGCTGTACTGGTTGTGCAATTAGAGTCCCAAGTCACACTCATGCTCATTCAGCTGCTTAAGCATAAGGACTTACAGTAACTACAAATAAAAAATGTAGAAGTACAACATTCTAAACTGTATCTTTTTAATTCTGATTAAAAATTTAACTCTGATTACTAATTTAATCACTCAACTCTCATAGCTACTGCAGCAAGCTGTAGCAACCACAACTGAGAAAAATAAAAGTAATCATAAAAATTAGGACTTTTAATGTGCTCATTATGAAATCAGTGCTGAAACTCTTAAACACTTCCAGTTGTAGCAATGCTAGGCCATGCACTTGTGACAGACCAGGCAGTTCTCTTTATTTGTGTATGTCAGTTTTGCTTCTGTGCACAAATATCCTGGCACTTGCTCCTACTATAGGTCAGCTTTGCCAGCTAGTCATTTTACTCATGCATCTAGGAATCCCTTTCTTTTTTGAAGGACATGCTTCCCTAGAGAACCTGATTGATAATACATTCTGATTTATCTGCCTCTGACATATTTGAGTTAGTAGGCTCTTGGCCTTTAAGTGACAGGGAGAAGAAGAGCTCCTGACAGCCCAAAGTAGGCTGCCAGTTTTTTGCAGAAGCCAAAGAAAAGCCAAAAGAAAGTCCTTCACACTTGACTGCATTAATAACATTACAGAAGAGCAGTATAGGTGCTGATAAACTAAAACCTCATGATGAAAAAGAAGTGGCAGAGACAGCTGCTGAGTAATGTCTTAAAGCCCCAGCATGACTGATGTACTAGTGTGACCTATAGAGTTGTGCCAGTTTCAAACACAAGCAGCTGCTAAGGTTGTTGATTGAATCTACAAATGTGTACCAGGGACAGCATCCAACTTTTCTGCTGTGTTGAGGTTTGGCCAAGTCTAAAATTTTCTGTAATTTTGCCAGAGCACATTTCTGTCCTCTGCTTGCCAGATCTAAGGACAGTATTTTGGAACACTAGGACTTGAACTCAGAACTAGCACCTTCATCACATTCCAAATGATTTTCAAGAAAACCTTTGAGGCTTAAGCAACACATTGGGAATTGTTTGTTTGCTGGCATGCCTGCAATCTCTTCTTGTTTGTCTTGAGTACAGTTGTGGGAAACATTTTCTTTCTCCTTTTATAACAGAAAAGGGAGATGAATAAGGACATAATTACAAAAGAGGCAAGAATGGGAGACAATGTGAAGATACATTAAAAAGTTCTAGAGAATGGGGAGAAAAAAAGGAAATATAGAATTAGAGTAAAAAAGGAATGAATAAGATGAATAATTATCCAGTTTTCATTTACATAGCTATAAATCAGGAGAAAGTGAAGAAACTAAAATTTTGTGCTCCTGTTCATTTGGAACTCTTGGGTTTGTCCAGATTTTTTTTTCATTTCCTCTTTTGTCTTCCACTTCAATTTTAGTGTGAAATCTAGACTTCAACCAGGGGAAGAGAAGGAGGGGAGGCGAGGTGAGGTGAGGCAAGGCAAGGGGAGGAGAGGAAACTTTTTTAAATTATTTTTCCTGCCACCTATATTCCTTGCCTTCATGCCACCAAGCATGTACCTAAAACACAGCTTTATGAGAAAATGAGTTAGAGTGAGTGGAATAGGGACTCATCCGGAAACCAGAAAAGGAATCTTCTATAATGCCACTGTCTAGTCTGGAGCTTCTGAATTTCTGGGGCAAGTTAGGCAGTGGCAGGAGAAGGTACTGGGGGGCACTGACACTGGGCTACAGCTGCAGAGCAACAAACCTTTGTGTGTCCAGGTTGTCAGGTCTGTTAGCACCCCAGGCCAGGTCTCAAAGTGAGAAGAGACAAGACTCTGTCCTTATCAAATAAAGGGGAGCTAATGGTGTCAATATGTGGTCAGATCATCCCGTAAAGAGAGAGAGAGACAGCCAAAGGGCTGGATGCAGGCTCTGCCCTTAGTAGCTATCAGATGCTTCTCAGATGACACCTGGTGGACAAAAGCTAAAGAAATGAAAGAAGCCTGCCTTCGTAGTAAAGAACTGTACGATCCTTGCTCACATCTGCACTACTACACTTACTGCTAGTGTACCTATCAGGTGACCTCCCAACTCCGCTTATCCACCCCTCCCCCCAGTCTATTATTACAGGTCCCCAGAACAAGCACATATCATCTATGTACCAGCAATAGCTTTTGTTTAGCACGTGCTTCCATATTTTCTTTTTTATTATGAGTAATATCTTGAGTTTGTTCAATTCTGATCTGCAAATTAAAGGCTAGGAAAAAAAACACAAGTTAAGCCCATGTTAGCAGCAACTAGGTGTTTCTGCTAGGTGTGGGATAACTAGACAATGTTATGAACACCTTCACAAGTTGATAGTTGTACTCAGAGAGTTAAAGGTTTTGATTTTTTCTGATCATTAATTTACTTGTTCTCTTTAAAACCGCTTTGATTTTCATTCTCTAACAGTGTCTGTCTTTTCTGCTTGATACAACTGTCCTAATGCATTCCTGCCGAGGTCTCAGAGGCACCAATTAAAAAAAAAAACACTCCAAAAAGTGGATACTTATTTCTCCTGGTAAGAAAGGTGGTTTCCTCAAGGATCTCACAGATGGGAATATGATGTTTTGGTGCAGTCCTTTTTATTTATTTGGCTTGAAGAATTTCAGAAAACATCAGATACTGCTGAACCAACGCTGCAACAGAAGGCCTCCTGCATAAATAGACTGTGATCGTTTGACTGCTAGCACTGCATCTTCCAGGTTAATGGGATTTTTTCCCTGTTATTTGGTCTTTTTTTTTCTGTTCTATTACTTTAAATCTTTTGTCTTCCACTTCAATTTTAGTGTGAAATCTAGACTTCAACCAGGGGAAGGGAAGGAAGGAAGGGGAGGGAAAGGGAGGAGAGGGGAGGGGAGGGGAGGAGAGGAGAGGGGAGGGGAGGGGAGGCAAGGCGAGGGGAGGAGAGGAGAGGAAATCTATTACTTTAAATCTTAACAGCTTTATCTTTTATTCTGTGTATTTCCATGTTTCACATTTTTGCAAAATCCTGAAATATTTTATGAAGCAAAACACACAGAAAAGTCAGGGATTCATGGCCTTCAAACACCAAACTAAGCTGAGAAAGAATGTGGGAGAGGTCAGGAGATAATTATGTAATTATCTAGCTTGTTTCTTCTGGATTTAGATTACCTGTTTACAGGTAATCTAGGGCACAGAGGTCATCCAGGAGCTGTGGCATTGTATTTGGTCTGGCTAGGATGCAGTTAACATTCCCTGTTGCAGTCCACATAGAGCTGTGCTTTGCGTTCGTTCGTTCGTTCTTTCGTAGCTATGACAGTGTTGAGACCACTCCAGTGTTTGGCTATTGCTGAACAGTGCTCAGGAAGCATCTGGGCTCTCTCCCCAACATCTCCCCTAAAGGCCAGTAGGCTTGGAGTGGGCAAGAAGTTGGGACACAGCTCAGATAGCTGACCTAAAAGGACCAAAGGGATATTCCATACCATATGATGTTGTAAAAACAAAAGTTAAGGTGTGGTGTATTTTTTTATTAAGGTGTTTGCCTTCTAAAGCAACTGCAATATGTAACTGGGGCCACACTCCTTCAGAAGTGGCTGGACACTACCTACTAAGACCAAGGAGGGAATAAATCTTTTTGCTTCTCTTTGCTTCTGAGAGTGGTGTTCGCCTTTACCTCAACCAATGAGTTTTTCATCTTATTTCTGCCCCTGTCCTGCTGAGCAGAATGAGTGACAGAGCAGCTTTGTGGACATCTGGTGCCCAGTCAAGGTCAACCTACTGCAGGCATATTGGGGATGAGATGAGTCCTACTCCACCAAGGGAATGAAGTAATGTCCTGACACAGCTGGAAGCCAAGGTTCATCTTTATACCAACATCACAACTTGATGGCCGACTCCCTGGTGCTCAAAGCCAGAAGTAACCAAGTCTAACTCTGCTCTGATATCTGAAATATCCCTGCAAATGGTTTCCAGCACAACTGCGTAAAGTTCTCAGGATTCTGAGTAACTCCCAAGTAAAGGGTGTGGCAAATAATAATAAGGATTGTCTATCTGGAAACTGGTGAACAACTGAACAGTATCTGAATTACACTATGAGTGGAGACACCTTACTTAAATGCTTGCTGGAAACAGGTGCTTCCAGTGGGGCAGTCCCTGGCCAGTGGCCAATTTGTTGATCACAGCAACAAAACCTGGAAGGGCTGGCAATCACCCAAAGAAAGTAAATATTAACACTACTAACTTTTTCCTCTTACATCCAATAGTGAAGGTCAAGGCAAAGAAGACTTTGAAGCATTGCCATGGAGAGAATACTTTTACAAGCCATTCCAGGTAAGAATCTGTGAGAACAATCCTCTTTAATTTATGCTGACAACTATTTTCAGGTTTTGAAGTGTTCTCCTTTACTTTTTAATTCCCGTTCACCAAATACAAAGAGAACAAATATTACTACAGTCAAAAAATACGAAGAGGAAAATGTATCAAGAAAGTGCTGTTAAAAACATAAATTAGCCAAAAAAATGTCTTCAGCTCAGGCAGCATATATGAGTGCTGTTGTGTTCTGCAGCTGGAAAAACACCAGTTCCTAAAATCTCTTTTGCTAGGAGAGCCACTGCATGATTAATTATTTCTACCCCACATAAATGTTAAATGGCAACTCATTTTAACATTTCATTCGTAAAAACATGAGTGAAAAACGTGATCTTGAGAGTCCCCAAAAAAATTACTGGATAACGTGGAACTCTTTATATTCTGACAGGGCAACGAGGGCATATTCCGGTCTTCCTGAAGAAAGCAATCAATACAAAGCCTTAAATCTCGACACAGACGAAACCAGGGCCAGTAACACCAGCCCTACGGTAGCTGAGAAAAGGAAAAAAAAGAGTTAAATCGTGTGAGGAAAAGGCGCGGCCGCCCCTCCCCTCAGCGCAGCCGGCGGCAACATGGCCGCGCTGGCCACAGCCCTGGCGGCGGCCGCCGGGCAGCAACAGGTAAAGGCCTCCCGGTGTCCCGGCGGGGGCGGAGGGATGAGCCTCCAGCTGTAGGAAGCAGCGCGGGTTTGTGGGGCTGGCCGCGGAATGGCAGCCTCTGCTAAAGCAAGCCGGTGATGTTTCATTTCTGTGTTGAAGGAGTGCTTTTTTATGTGCGGTCACCAGCTCGCCGTCACTCCTCACTCCAGTTTCGTACCTGTGCGGCTGGAAATTAGTTGACTCGCGCCAGCAGAAAACAGAAGTGATGCTGTCACTCTGCACTGTGGTGTTGTCTGCTTAAAACTAACCAATGAGCATTTAAAAAAATACTGGTTGTGAATAATACTTTATTTTGTTATCTACAGAATGAGGGCTGTTCCAGCGCTGCAGGTGCTGGTCTACAATTTCAGAACTGGAAGATGAAAGCTGAGCCAGCTAAGAAAGTTGAATTCATAAGAAGTGCAGAAAAGCTAAAAGCTCAGTAAGTTAAACACTTCATAAGTATGTTTTCATTCTGTTCTGGAGGTAGCATTAACTCGATGTTTAAATAAGAATGTATAGTAATGAAATCTTCAGGTTAATGTTTTTTTTTCAGGAGCTCAGAAAAATTACTGTGGTTGTTACAGGAGTTCAGGATAGGCTTAGGAGCTCCAAAATGCCCTGTTGTTCCAACTGCTATTTGGACTTCGGCCAGTCATCTTGTTTAGTAAGAACTGCTTTAGGTGCACAAAAAACGAAGTGTGTGTGCGGCACAATTGGGTTCTCAGTTTTCCTACTCAGCTGTGCTTACACTTCTAAGGAACTAAAGCCCTTAAGACATACTAACAAAAGGGGAATTGCAGCAGCATTACAACAGCTTCTTCAGAGAAAACTGAAAGACTTCATCTAAAATATTTAGGCCACTGCTTTGGAAAATGAGGGTTCAAGACAGTTCAGGCACAGAAGTTATTTAAATCTGTTTCCTTACATCTTGACTAAGTGCTGGTAACAACTACACTGGTGGCTGAAAGAAAAGGGAATTTTCTCCTTGAATGGATGAGCTTTATGAAGAATAGTGATGGCGGAATAGTGGTGTAGCCACTTGGCTGAAGGAGACCTTTGTAGTTGTGAATCCAGAATGAACAGTGGCACTTAAGTCTCACAGCAGTACTTTACACTGTCTGACTGAATTGACTTCACCTTGATTACCTGGGATATGGCTAGGTAATATAGACATTCCTAAGCAGCTTGAAATGAGTCATGCCATCTACCTGTGGCTCATTGTCCCTCTGTAGTGTTGTTTGTGCTGGGGCTCCATCTAGGTGTGCCACTGTATTAATACAGGCTGTCTGCCTGCACTTTTCTGAGAAAATTCTCATAAGGCTTCCAGATCGTGAGGATACACATAGAATTTCAGGCTGTTTCAGTGTGTGAACCGCTGCCTATCAGCGAGGTGATTTCCTTGTTAATTTCTTTCTCTCTTTCAAGTTCTTCAGTTACTTTGGTGTGTAGTCTTGTAACTGCAGAAAGATTTTCCTTGAAAACAGTTGTAGGAACAAACCAGGGATTTGTAAAAAATCTCAGACAGTCCTGTTGACATAGCCTCAGCTGCACACTAACCTTGGAAAATTTTGGGGCTTTGCTGAGTGTTCGTGCCCTCTCACTGTGGCACCCTTTTTTTCTAGGCTTGCAAATATAGAAAAAGACAAAAGTGGACTTCTTTATAATAGGAAGAGTGATTTCAGGGTAGAATACAGAATTCTAGAGGATCTGGAACGCAGCATGACTGTCAGCAGAAAAATGGAAAGTAAGTGGGATTTTATTTCGGTTTATTGTTTGCCTTTTTTTTCTTTAATCTGCTGTTGTTTCTGTAAATGGTTTAATAATCAGCAGTGAAGAGAGATTAGTTTAGGTGGAAGCTATGTACTGATAAGTGTGATAATTTCACTGTGTGTACTGCTTATAAACACTTCCACAACTCACTTGCAAAATTCAGAAATATAAACATTTTGGGCCTTCTGTATTTTCTTTTAATCTTGAATGTAAGAGATACCACTCACAAAAAGTTTGGTGGAAAGGTACCGTTCCAGAAACTTGGAATCAATTTTGTGCGTGTATTGCAAACTCTAATGTAGTCTAGCTAAGGAACAATAAATACATTCTTACCATAACATTCACACACTGATTGCTGTCTTTAAATATAAACAGTTCTGTGTTTGCATTTTTTTTAATTTTTGGGTCATGACTATTCCTAGTGCTGTGAGATGGTACACAGTCTGTCCTATAGTATCTGTTCCACTTACAGACTAATAATATAATTCTAGAAAAAAAGTTACTCCCTGATCACAGTTCCTGGATTCTTTAAAAAGTAATCAAATAAATCATGCTATGTCATCTGATATAGATCAAAATAAGTGAAGAAAGGAAAGGAATGTAGAGACAACTAAAAGTACACTTACCTTATGAATTTGCATATGTTTTAATATGCATCTTTAAGGAATCTTACAACATCCTTTACATCTTGCAGTCCTTAAGAAATGTAAGTATTTTGAAGGAATGACTAAGCTAATAAGTTCAGAAAATTTTCCAGGAGTAAGAAGGGAGCATGGAAGTATGAATGGAGATAATGTTACGAGAAAACAAAGAGGACAGTGATGAGAGGTGTAAGACGCTACATGTGAGATGTGAAGGAATGTTGGAGTATGATCTTGTAGAGTATGTACAAGAACACTCAAAATTTCCATTTGCTTCAGCATGATTTGTGTGCTTTTGCACTTTCTGTAGTCTCAGCAGGAACCAGTAGGGTCATGTCTTAGCTACTTTTTGTTACATTTAGGTCTTGGAATCTCTTATTCCTCTCTTAAACCAAATCTTTTAGGATGGAAGATACAGCTCTTTAGTACCTAAGATGTATCCAGAACTTCATCCTCCTCAGTATCTTATTTATGGACTGAGGAGGAGCCAAGTGGTAAAAAAGCAAATAAATGCACGCATGCTTGGAGTTCACAAAAACATTGATTCTACCCTATTTAACACAGCAAACAAATAAATCTCATTGAAGCAGTGCATTCACATACACTTTCCAAGTTTGCTTTCTCTTCACAGGCGAGTGTTTTGAGGCCTAGGTCAAAGTTGCCCTCAAAACTCTAGAGAAGTTATCATCTACATAGGCAGTATTCTCCAAACTCCCCCTTGGAAATGGGAGCTACTAATTTTAAAATCTGTTGATGCTGTGTGGGGAGGTGCAAGGACCATGTGGTCACCTACATGCAGTTACAGATATTACAGCAGTTTCTTATGATCAAACACAATTTGTGTCCCTGCTTAGATTAAATCCCCAGTATATTTTGGATACTTCACTGGTCTTGTTCTTGTGTGGAATTTAATGCACAGAGAAACTTAGAACTATCAGCACCTTATTTTGTTTAACAGAAGCTAAAATCCTGCAGCAGCTATCAAAAATACAAAACAATGTGAAGAGACTTCAGCAACAATTAAAGGATGTGAAGCCTACACCAGAATGTAAGTCATGGTGACAGATTTAAAAACATTTTCGCCTACAGACAGGTTTCTTGTATAGTTGGACTTGTCGTTGTCCTTCTATAGCAAATGCTGCAACTTATTCACGTAAGATGGTTTGAAACTTTTGGGAAATAGGCACTAAAAGAACCGTTTGCTTGTGATACTCTACTGCCTTGTGTAGAGCTTAAGTTGAGGCCCTCCTACTAGCTGAGGGCTTTCTGATGCTAGATAAAATGCATCTCATTTCATTTATTCAGTGTTTATCTAAAAAAAAAAAATTATCTTCTTAAGATGTCAGTGAGGATACCAAGAACTAGCAAGGCATGAAAGCTGAAATAAGAGTTTTAGATTATATAAGTTTACCAAAACCCAGGTTAGTTAAACTATGTGTTCAGTATGTATCCACAGAGATTTATGCTGGTTTAAAACAGATTCTAAAACTTTTTTCTACCATTACAAAAGCAATCTTCTCTGGAAAACTGTCTTACTTTCTTTCTCAAAGTCAGGACTACAGCATGCTGAGAGCACAGGACAGTCTTACTTCGATGTTTTTTTGTCAGCTTTGTAAAAGTAGTGACCTGCAGGCTAAATAGGATCGCTACAGCCTGGTATAAGCCAAAGATTTGAGTGTGTTTAAGTCAGTAACTGCATAAACTGTTTATAAACTGTTATAAAAAAACAAAAGCAGAACTCTTTAGGGATAAGGCTGTCTTACTCAGACAATCAGTTGAGGGTTAGTCAAAATGAGACTTCTTTAATGGAAATAAACATTTATACTGAGATTTGCATCTAGTTAGCTAAGTCACTGCATAAACACACTTTTTGAATAAATAAGAGTCTGTCTTATAGGGCTCTTTGAGATGGAAATGCATGCTTTTTTGTGCACTGAAATACATGTCCTGAAAGTCTCTGCATTTCTGGATAGTGCTGGTAAATACTGTAGACTTCTTAAGTTATATGCTTTTTTTCTTTTCCTCTTTTAGTTGTTGACAAGCTCAAGGAAATGATGGAAGAAACTGAAAACGCAATCAATGCTTTTAAAGAGGAACAGAGGCAAATGTATGTTTATACATCCTTCAGCTACAAGAAAAAGTGCTTTCATAATACACAGTGAAAACTTTGCATTAGTCCAGCAAACTGTTCTTTAGATTTACTCTTTTACTAGTGATTCCTGTGGTGCGTAAATCATTAGAGTCCTGATAAACTCTGTTTCAGACAGACTATTCCAGCATTCCAATGTAACAACCATTTGCCTAAGAAAAGGCTTTTTAGAGGAAGGCTGCAGAAGACATTAGATTGTGGGGGTTTTGTTGATGACTGTTGTTCTGTTTTCTGAGTGGGTTTGTGGGGATTTTCCTTCCTCTCTACTGGTGTCAGGAGGGGATTGAGTTAGTTGTATGAGTGCCATAAATGTCTGCTTTCAGTAAAAGGGTAACTTAATTCTCATTGTGTAGTGCTTTATTATCAGATCATTACAACTGTGCTGTTACCACTTCAGTTCTTAATCTTTGAAGAATAGCTTTTGTGTGGCATTGAACAATTCCAAAATTCATTTTTGGTGAATGGACAATGAATACTGGATTTTTTTTCTTACATTGCAGTGTTTGTCACTTTCAGATATGAACAGCTTTTGAAAGAGGAAAAAGCTACCATTAATGAGCTCAGTCTCTTTGAGAGAAAAGTGGAACTGTGGGCATTAGGCAGCTTAACAACAGAAAAAGTTTTGAAAGTACCATCAGCCAGGGTTACAGTTGATAAAACACTGGAAAATCATCTACCCAAAGAAGTAGTAGAGTTTGAAAGATTCCTTCAGCAAACAGGAGGGCGGCAAGGAGGCTGGGATGATTATGATCATCAAAATTTTCTGAAAGTACGGACTAAATACAGAGGAAGGCTGTCTTACATGGATAAAGCCCTTCAGTATCTCGGTGGAAGAACAAAAGAAGATATTGAACAGCATGACAAATGGTATCAAGAATTTCTAATTTTACATGAAAGAAAGAAAGAGGTAAAATAACCCCTCTAGGGCTTTTGGAGATTTAAGAAAAAGTACTTATTTTTAAAATACATACATTTCTTATTTTTGTATCTGCCTCTCTGGTGGTAGTGCTAGATAGATTTCTGTTGGTATATAACTGAGGTCTTTGGCATCCTCAACTTGCCAAAAGTACTTGTCTTTAATAAATAATTACCAATAAGCATAGACCTAATAACACACTGAAGTAGGCTGTGTATTGCCAAAGTATGTTATAAAAGCTTCTGGTGGTAGTGGTCTAGCAAGTTAGATGCCAATCCCGGTGCAGCAAGTGATCCTATCTGAAATTACAGTTCCTATTACATTTGTCCCTAAGAATGTTGGTCCCTCTCTATAGACAATCTACCTATGCCAGACCACACTGACATACAGAATTATGATTCTCTCAAAAACTATCCATCTGAGTAATAAAGGATGGACTGACATAAAAACTATTATGAAATAATAGGTTGAATTGTTAATTTGAGAAAAATAGGAACTGATATATGTTTGTATTGAAAAAGCATATTACACCAACATTCATAACTACCCAAAGTTATTATAATTGCTGTAACTGAAACCGGTTTAGCAGATATCTATTAAACCTGCTCATGTGATCCATAAAATAGAAAAAAAATGTGAGAAAATGTATGTAGGTGTTTCTTTGCCTTAAGTTTTGCCTTAAGTAAACTTCTAATTCCTATCTGCAGTATGTTTCCATCAGACTGAATCAATATGAATCTGTAAATTTTCGTTAAAACCTTGGATATTTTCCTGCCGGTCTCTTGCAGTCAATTAAGAAGTGGAAAGAAAAGCAGCAGGAAGAAAAAGAAAGAAACCTGAAGGAGAAAGAGAGATCAGAAAAAATGCTCAAGCAAAAATGGCGACAGCATGAAGAAGCTCAGAAGCAAAAAGCAGAAGAAGAAAGAAAAAGAAAACAAGCAGCAGTTGAAGCATGGAAGAAACAGAAAGCAACAGCATTTGCAATGGAACAAGTGTCACAACTGAAACTAGAAGAGAGAGAGAAAAGGCAGGAAAAAGAGCGCCAATGCCACGTGAAGTTACTGTTGGAAAGGAATACCTTGCAGAAGAAAGTAAAGGAGGAACTTGAAAAGCTTGAAATTGAGAAGAGAGAGGAAGCTGAAAAGGAGGAAGGGAAGAAAATTGCTGCAGAAAAAATTTCTAGGTTTCAAGAGCGTGTGCGTAATTACATCTTCATTTATGCATACGTTATATACATGTTAAACATTTTTAAAATCCAAGTTTCATACACATAATTGATTCACTATGAAAACAGCATCAATTGCAGACAAAAAATAGTATGAAACTTGATTTTAGACACAGGTGTTCCTTTTCCTCAATATCTAAATTCTACAAGATTACTCAAGCCCATGTTTCTTTCTACATATAGAAGTGGTTTCATTTACTTTGGTGTAAAAATGAGAAAAACTACTTGGGCTGTGTTGTCCTCTGTGCTATAGAAAACGTCAGAGGACCTGAGTGTTGGATGCAGATGAGATAAAAAGAGATATTTCAATATCCTCACAGCTTTCAGTAGCTGTTAGGTAAAATTAGATCCCATATCAGCATAAGTGCCACTACTGGAGAACTGATATTACTGTCAGCATTCAAACTAGAGTTTTATAAAAAGAGTTTAAACTACTCCACTTTTTTTTCAAAGTCACATAACTATAATTTGTTTGTGCAGGACAAGCTATAGTAAGTAGCTACCTAGTGAAACTTCCTGTACTATGGCAATAATTTCAAAACAAAAAATAATTAACCGTGAAAGGCTACATATATATCTTTATATCATTTGTTTTACTTCCAAAGAAAAGTTTACTTTTCCATTAATTATATTTCAGGATCTACATAAACTGGAGTTAAGGGTTTTACAGAAACAAGCTAAAGAAATAGAGGAACAAGAAAAAGAAAAAAAGTTGGCAAAGTTGAGAGAGAAGGTAACTTTTTGTTTGTTATAATCTGAGGTGTGTGCAGCATGGTGGTTTAAACAAATTTTCTTTCATTGAGCTAAAAAGCAATGGTTTTTAATTATCTAAATGGTTGATAAAGTAATTTTTGTTATCAGGAGACAAAAATGCAGCAGGCATAGTTGTTCTTGTGTTTAAAAACAAAACAAAAGATGAGCATTTATTTATCTCATGGCAGTATTTACCTGGGTAAAGCCTGTAGGTCATAGAATGCTGCAATATGGGTGCTAGCTTTTATTTTTTGAAATGGTTTTCTATCATTGGTTAAATAAGTAGACTGGCTTCTGGAAGCATTTTGAGTACACCGGGTTTTGAAAGAGTTTAACCTTTTAAATTACTAAAATTTAGTGACAGCAAGCAGTTGTTGCCCCTCTTACTGATTTCATGTTTCACCCATCCCCTGTGATAGTATGGAGGGAAATGTCTCGTTCTGTCTAGCCGGGTCTGTTATGTTTACTCTGCACCTGTTTCTGTGATGAACGCCCGAGGAGTGTAATGTAACTCCTGTGATCAAGGAAAAAAGATCAATTTTTTGGGGGTTGTTTGTTTCATTCTGAGGTCGAGATTCAGGTAACCAGAGACCGATCCGAGTTGCACAAAGCTACCAAGGGCTGGGAAGAACGTAGGAAGGAGATGGCACCAGCAGCTTCAGAACCACTGTTACGTGTTACTCACAGGTGAGGAAGGAGCCCAGGACGTGTAGCCTGACAGAGGTGCAGTTAATGTACGAGCTCTTTATGCCTTTTTGCTTTGTTGTCAGGGCTGTCCCAGCCTGGAGAGGAGGGCTATAGCTGCGCCCCAGCCTGTCCCTGCCGCAAGAGGAAGCAGCAGCCAGCACTTTTCGGAAGCCAGCACAGAGTTAGCTTGACACATGACGTGTCAAGCCTTTGTATTTTGAGAGTGTCGGGTTGGGAATGCTGCCTGTGGGACCGGCCGGGCGTGATGTCCCTTCGCATTAAAAGCACGTTTCCCCACAGCTGCCTGGGACAATCCCTTCGGGGTGGGGTGGGTCGTCGCACTGGCTCCCGCCCTTTCCTTTCCCCTTCCGCTTTGCCCCTTCCCCTGTTCTCCTCTTTCGTCTTCCCCCTTCCCTTTCCCTTCCCTTTCCCCGCCCCGGGGCGGGTCCCGCGGGTGACGCGGTCCGGGCGCGCCGGGCGCGGGCAGCGGCGGCGGGATGGAGATGGCGGCGGCGGCGCCGTGCGCGGGGGAGCCGGAGCGGCTGGAGTTCCTGCGGGATCGGCACGTGCGCTTCTTCCAGCGCTGCCTCCAGATCCTGCCCGAGCGCTACTCGTCCCTGGAGACCAGCAGGTAGCAGCGGGACGGGCTCTCGTGCTTCGGGCGGGCGGCGCGCCGCCGTGTCCCGCCCGGCGACCCCCGCCCGTCCCGGGATGCCGCCCTCACCCCCTCCCCGCCGGGCGGGCGCCTCCACGGGAAGGCCCTGCCGGAGGCTGCCTGGCCTCCCGCGGCCGTGGGCAGGGAGCAGCCCCGCCGTGGCCGGAAGGAAAAGCGTCCTTGTAAATCCGGCCACTGGCAGAAGGCTCCCAAAAAAACCGGGTTGATGTAGGGGCGTAGTCTCTGCTCGCGTAAACTGCCCGATATCCCCGCGGGAAGACTTGTTGATCCTTTTAATCTGTTTTCAGTCCATTGCTTAATCCGCCCTGGAAGCCATTTTAAAATAAGTTACTTAAGCTTTTTGTTGCTCTGGGTCAACACGCAGAAGATTCTTGTTCATGTAAGAGAAATATTTTAAGTCTTCATTTGTTAGTATAAGAGATAAAATACCAGTGAAGTATGTTATGAGTTAGAGGGACATTTGTTCCTGTAATGACTTGAGAACGTACTTACTTCATGTTCTTGAAGTATTCACCTAAGATAATTGGTTACATCTGAGGCACAAGAAGATCAATAACTTGATTGTCAAGCTTTACCTGATAAAAACATGGAGATATGCAGATCGTTTGATATCTTATTCAACCAATAAAATCATCAGATTCTTTTCACAGTATCACCTTCTGCAAGTCATTCTGTGAAGAATGCTCAATGGCTCTGATCAGGTTGTCCTGCTGAATCAAGCTTTATTTCAGTTGAGAGCACAAACACTTGGCAGAACCACGTAAGGACTAGCACAAGTAGTGCCAAACTGTGTGTGGAGAGGGGCTAGCACAGGGCTACAAAGATGATTAAGGAACTGGAACATTTGTTATGTGTGGAAATGTTGAAGGAGCTGGGCCTGTTCAGCCTCAAGAAGAGATGACTGAGAGAGGATCTTTTCAATGCATTCAAATATCTTAAGGATGAGCAGCAAGAGGATTGGGCCAGACTCTTCAATGGTGCCCAGTGGCAGGACAAAGGGCCACAAACACAATCTGAAACACAGGAAGGTCCATCTGAATATGAGCAGAAACTTCTTCACTGTGGGGGTGACCAATCACTGGGACAGGCTACCCTGAGAGGTTGTTGAGTTTCTTTCCCTGGAGGTATTCAAAACTTGCCTACACATGATCCTGTGCAACTTGCTCTGGGTGAACCTGCTTTAGCAGAGAGAGAGCTGTACTAGATGATCTCCGGAGGTCCCTTCCAACCCCAACCATTCTGTAATTTTGTGAAATTTTTATTTCAGAGCTGCAAATAATTTATTCATTAAGAATTATTTGGTATTTCAGTGTACGTTCTCAGTTATTTTAGATGACAGCTAGAGGAAGTCTAGGCCTCCTATACTTTTAACAGGTTTTAGACCTTAAAGGTACCATAACATGGAGATGTGTTAGAATGATAACAAATAGCTAACCTTAGCCCACTGACATATGAAAGTGCTAAAGAAATGGGTTGTCTTTGGTCTAGAAGAGGAAGAATCTGATCACAGTCTTCTGTTACTGAGAAACTAGCTACAGAGAGAGATGGAGGTGTGTTCTTTAGAAGGGACCATGGTGACGGGGCAGGAGACCACGGGAATAAGGTGCTTCAGAAAGAATTGTGTGGATGTAGGATAATATTCTTCATCGTTGGAGCGGTTAACCATGAACAGCTTACCCAGTGAAGTGATGAAGTCTCCATCGAGGACTTGGCTTGTCAGGGTCCTGGGAATCTCATCTGAAACCCTGTGTTCTGCAGAAGGTGGGATCAGTGAGAGACCCTGATTGCATTGCCAAGCTTGTTGCAGTTTGCCACTGATCTGAAACAGAAGTTCCAGTTTACAAAAAGTCTTCTGCAATCTTACTGAATAATAGTAACAATAATTGTTTGAGAACTCTTGAGAAATTAATTAGATGTCTGAGCTTTAATTTGATGTGTGGTCATAGTAGCCTCAGTACCTTGAATAACCAATGCCTAGTGTATTGCACATAATAGCTGTGCAGTACTGGAAAAACACTTGTTTTCTGAAAATTGGAACCATCAATTTAAAACTATTTCATGATACTTTAATTTTTGGTTAATGAGCACAGTCTAAGCTTTCAATTGGAATAAAAATCATGGCAGTGTAAATTCATGCGTTTTTTGTAGTTGTGAAGTTTTTACTCAGCTACAGATTTTTTGGTTCTCTTACAGTGATTTTTAGATCAGTGTTCTGCAGGTGTGCATGCATGACTGTTGACAAAAGGGGGGATTAAACCATAAATGCATCATCCCCAGTGTGACCTCGAGGGTACTAAGTTTGCCTTTTTGCCAAGGTCAAGGTCACTGAATTCAGCAAACCTTAAGCAAACCTCTGGAGCTGATACTGCTGCAGAAGGAAATGCTTTTAACCTTTTTATTCTTGCTTCCCCTGTTCCTGCTTTTGCGTGGTTCCATCGTGAATTAGAGGGGAAACTCAATTAAATTAAAGATGTGTTAAATAAATAAATAAAATCATTTGTCAGTGAGATGTTTTTTGTTCACTGCAGTGCAGCATTTGTAGTCGCCAGACACGGGTGATAGTGACTGAAATTTTCCACACTCTGCTGGTCCATTCTGACTTAGGCTGTAGATTGTCAAATAATAAGGGAGAATAAAGAAAATTCGTTTAATGTTCTTTACTCAACTTTTTGGCTCAAAGCCTTCGTAATTATTTTTGTCTGTAGTTATTGCGTGCAACAGTAGTTGCAGCAAGAGTGCTTTTTAAGTGTTCTTATTGATAGTGTTTCATGCATAGATTGCCTGTACTGTCAGGTTTTGCAGGAAAGTCAACTCCTAGTCTCTGAAGTCCTTCAGATTGTGGTACTTCGTGGTGCTCCTTGTAGCACACCTAATCAGTTTCTCAGATCAGTCATTTCAAATGCTTTTTGAACTCTGCTGAGAAACTGTAGTCTTTGTTCATGGCTGAAGATAAAGAGGTCTGAATATGTCATCAGAGATGTCCTGTTGACCGTCCTCTATGGAAATGACTGTAGATAAAGTTCTTACTCTTCATGGCATGTGTCGCCTAAGATGCTGCTAAGAGTTGTTTTTGTAGGAACATATGTCTGTTAAGTTTCTGTGAAGTAGGATAGCCTATGGAGTAAGGATGCAGTATAGGTGGCTGTATTGAGACCTATGTCCAGTGGTGCCAGATCTTCTTGCCCATCACAAGAAAATTCCAACACACACAGGCTGTTCCTTAGTAATGCTGGAGACAATCAACTCTGAATAAGTAAAGTGAAGCCCAGCTGTAGGTAAAACCACTTTTTAAATTCATGTATTTGACATGTGTTTTTAACTATAGATGAGATTTACTGTCTGTGTTGTATACACAGCTTTGTGGTTTGGGACCTACTTTGCAGCAGTTTCTAGTGCTGATGTTGGCATGTTGTTTGTGCCTTATTGGAAGTAGCTCAGCTAAGTAAAATAGTGTGAAAATGTGTTTTAAGTAGTTCTATTAGAAGACTGTCAGTGTTCATGAAAATCAGAACATATAGGCAGTGTTTCAAATAAATAATTTCCTGTATCTGAACAGTAAATTCCTTGGAGTTTTTTTATAAAAGTAGTGATTTTGTTTGAATTAGTGGTTTATTATCCAGGGTCAGATTTTGAGTTAAACAGATCTGATCAATGCAATAGTTGATAAAAGCCTTGAAACATTAATTTTCCACTTTCAAAAACAATTTTTTGTATCAGAAGAGTTAAAAGATACTCTTGCTCTACATAGAAGTACCTTTTTGTGCAACATACTTTTTTTAGCTTTCTCTACTCAAAAAATGTATTTGTAATAATAATAATTGTAAAGAAACATATTTTACCAGCCCAGTGATAGAAATGTCACCCTTGGAGGTTATGCCACTGTACTGAGATTAGTGTCTCCTTCGTTGTCATTTGGCTGCTATGTTTTAATTAGAATAATTCTTATGGAGCTGTGTTTTGGGCTGACTCACATCACCATTTTTTCCTTGGTCTTACTGTTTCGAGTTCTGATGCAGAACCACATGCAGAAATTAGGTGGCTGTAGAGGTGCCTACCCACATCTGTCTCCTCGTCTTCAGAGGTGCCTACTGCTGGTGGCCAGGGTGGCTCACCACCTTGTGAGGAAAATGCAAATTACAGCTTGATCTGCTAAGGAAAGCTGATATTAACTTTTGGTTTTCCTTGACATGCTGAATTGTAGTTTCTGAATATGTACCGATTGTTTCACAATCCCTCGTCTTATCTGGTGAAAGGAGAGCAAGAATTTCTAGGAGGATAGGCAGACACGAGTGTGGGTGGCAAAAATATACATCCAGCTAATTTTAATGTGAGTCAGAACTTTGGGCTTCCAAGGTACCATTACATGAGTGTTTTCTCTCATAGCAAACTCTCTGAGAGTAGTGTGGCTTTGGTGCTCTGTCAGAGTGAGCAGTGCAGCTGTTTGAAGGGCCATGCTGTTTGTTGGGTGGCTGCAGTGCTTTGAGGTAAAAACAAACCCTGCAAAGAAAGTGTTAGTTAGCAGATCTGGTAGGATAAGTTTATGGAAGGAGACAGATTGCGTGAAAGAAGGACTTTTGGTGTCCTAGCTACTCCACTACTCTATTGAATACTTGAATTTGGTTA